GTCGTCGTCTCTCTCTCTCTCTAGGTTTGAACGAAATCTATTTACGATTCTGAGAGTACAGTTTTTATGCCTTCTGCAAAAGCAAGATTCTTTGCAAAGTAAAATAATAAAAAAAAGAATAAAAGAATATTTTTTGAGAACCACAGGAAGTGGCGAGGAAAAAAAAAAAAAAATCCCACAGTAAATCATTACTAGGCGAAATACCGTATATTTATAAATTGAAATATCTATTTTTTTTATTATCTCAAGAGATCATGTATATGAGTTGTGTATCACGACGAACATGATCGAGGGTTTGGAAAACACGTAAACGTCTTAGCTTGTTTGCGAATACGTTTGCATCATATATCAACAGAAAAATATTCCAGAATTAAATAATCATTCTAGAGTAAAATTACATTCTAAATTTCAAATTTTCATTCCATCTTGAAAAATGTCATTCCAATTTTAAAATTTTTCGTCTTACTTGAAAATTTTCCTTCCAAGAATGGGGTATCCCTTCTTATTTGAACTGCATGCTAGAGATGGAATGAAAGTCTGGATGAGTTCATGAAATATTTTAATTGGACTGTCATTCTAAGTAAGGATTTCCAGTCATAAATAGGTTAATCCAATCTAAATTAAACGATATTTATTGTAGTAGAATGAAAGTCTCATTAAAACATTTTATAAACTCGTCCAGACTTTCATTCCATCTTGAACAAATAGATATAGTTGGAAGGGAAAACTCATATTTAGACGGAAACTTATCAAATTAAATTGAAAATTTTACAATAGGACAAACATTGGAATGATAATTTATAAATATGAAGGATTTTTTTTTAATGGAATGTTTTTTTAACTTTCATTTCTCATGGGAATTTTTCTGTTGATTCTTCAATCTGTAGGCAAACTTTTTTTTTTTTTTTTTTTTTTTTTTTCCTTTCAGTGTTTTATTTTTAACTTGCGTTTGACTAGGAATTTGAAGATGTTTCCGGGACAGTTGTTTGTGCTATTATTTTACATAACATATCTTTTTTGACAACGATTTAACTGTTAACCTGAAAATTCCTTTATAGAGTCTATAAAATGTTGAAAACGACATATAGTTTTATATAAAGAATTCACTAAAACTATTTTTTTACAAGTTTCGAGTTTGTTTTATTGAAGCTCTGTTTTTTTGTCAGTCTATGAAGAATGACTTGTAGTCCTATAACAGGATCTTCGCAAGAAAATTTTCCTCCACATTTTGAGGATCGCTCGACTGTTTGTTTGATCTTTTGCCTTGTCTCTCGAAACGTGGTCAAAATTGTGTTTTTTTTTTAAGGCAGAAAGATAAGTTTGACTTCAACTTTTTCACTCTATACAAATGTTGTTGTTTTTTTTTTTTTTTGGTTTTCACGAATCCTGTGTTCTGGGAGGTCTTTCAGAATACAAATGTTCTACGTTTTGGGTCGCGGTTCAACCATCTTGCGGTGATTTCTCGACCACCATTATGGAGCCCTCAGGCGATAAAAGACTTCAAGGCACTCTGAAGCGAGTTTGAGCGCACCTCTTTTGCATCTGAGTGACTAAGGCACTTCTACTTTTGACCTTCTTACTCTAAGTCTAACATGAGGTTACGAGAAGAAGGCACGTCCACCCTGATTGCAGGAACTCTGTCAAAACGTTTCTGAGTTTTGGAGGCAGGGAACTGTGAAGTAGTTTGTTTTTGCCTTGTGTGAGTCCACGATATCCCTATTTTCATACACCTCTCTAGTCTGATTGAAATGTACGCGTGCAACCTTATGTTTTATTGATTCTTTCTATAACCTTAATCAGATTGAGTAAAAAAAAAAATTGTGTGAATCCTTCTTTGCATTGTTGCATGAAAACAGACAAACATGGATGAATTAGGGGAAGGTGCGAGAAGTGTGGTCTTGATTAAGAATCTGGGTCACAAAAAGGGTCAGGCATGTTTCTAAGCTGAACGACTTGACCGCTATGTTTCTTTGGAGTTGTTTTTTGATGGGCCAGACACTGTTTCTAAGTTGAATGATCTGACTACTGTGACTTTGTTTTTGAGGCATGCATGGTTTGTTTTTGGGGCTAAACATTGTTTCTTAGTTGAATGGTTTGGTCCACATGCCTTTTTGGGGGGCATCTGAATGAAACCTGACCATGTTTTCAAGTTGAATGACCAAGGATCCTTGTTTTTCTTGAAATATGAAAGTAAGGGTTTATTATTATTTCTAAGTTGAATTACTAAACTTTTATTGTGTTTCTCCTGAGGGGACTAAGGTTGAGAGTAAGCATTGTTTCTAAATTGAATGACTTACTTTAAAAAGTCGTGCATACAACAGGGAATCCAATGATAGTTCCTTCTATATTATATTTATATATCTTATATGAACAAGTTAGTCAGATAGGGTTTCTAAGTTGAATGGTTTGATTATAACCTATCATTAAGGACGAGAATATGAAGTTAAAAGTATAATTTACTGTAAGTTTGAGCAGGCAGAACATTGTTTCCATGTTGAATGGTTCAGAGGTGGACCCCACAGGGGAAAATCTCGGAAGAACTCTTCCGCCGGGTGTTCTCTCAGACCCCACAACCTCTGGAAAAGTGTCTGGAAGTCCTTTTTTTTGTATTTCCCAGACCCCACCACCCGGAAAAGTGGCGCCTGGAAAAGAGGAGCGAGTTTCCAAGTCCTTTTTCTGGGCGGAAAACGGTCGATCCACGTCACCCTCGCCGAAATTTTGTGGCAAACGCAAGGGGTAGGGGGGGGGCATCCCCCTACGTCTTCCAAACTTGGAAGATCGCGCAGGTCCATTTTGTGTCCGCACGGTGCAGCGCAGATGCCACGCAATGCCACCCACGACCCGTAAGCGGCCACCCTGCAGGTCCACCACGGCCTACCCGGGCTTCGACGGCGGACAAAACAGCCAAACTGGTTAGAAAGTCTGGAAGAACTCTTCCAAAAGTCTGGAAAAGAGGCACTTCGGTGGGGTCCCATCTTTTCTTTTTCGAAACCTTCCAGGACTTCCGCGTCGTTTTACCACGGAAACTGCCACCCCTTAGTCCTACACCCACGTTCAACTTGAAGACAAGGAGGCAAAAAAAAATATAAAATTTGATTATTAAACAGTTCAGGATGACTAAGCAGGGTTTCTAAGTTGAATGGCATGTTCATATGCCCAATGAAGAGAAAAACTTTACTGTGCGTTGTGTTTTGTTTATAATAAGGCAAGGCTAGATATTGTTTATAAGTTGAGTAATCTAGTCTTTATGCCATAAAGCAAAATGAGGGTATTAGGGTTTATCTAACTAAGAGTTAATGAACTATTTATTTGAAAAACAACTTCGGGTTTTAGTGGGAGTACTTACTCATTGTGGTATGGACTTGTATGTGGATTGATAGGAAGCTAGCTTGATTTATGCATACTTTCTGCCTTAGGACTTAGACTTGTACAACTTGGGATATCACTTCTCCTTGAGAAAATTGTACAAAATCTATGGAGTTGGACAATTTTTCATGCTTTACATAATTGAGTAATCTAAGTTTATCTTTGGATTAGTATAAATTTGGTAGTCTACCTTTTCTAAACGAGATGTTGCCCAACTTGTTATTAATTCGAAGATTTAAACTAAGTTGTTTTTCTGGATATCCATATGACCCTGGACCATCCGGAATATCCGGCCGAAAAAACACCCCCAAAAAAACTCGAAAATAAACATTCCGGACCCTGTGCAAAATAGGCGCAGAGCTTCTTCCTAGGGTCTAGGGGCGCCAAGGGGTTTTGATCAACCCCTGACAACACCTCGTTGTGGCAGATCCCGAAAGGGACCCACAAATTTCGAAAAAAAAAAGTCCGATTCGGGCCATCGGTCCACCAAGATCGGCGGCCCAGATTGGGCCAATTTTGAATTTGAAATCGCACTATGCCGCTGCCCGGCTGCTTGCTGCCCCTGTGCTCGTTGCCTCGCTGCCCTGCTGCTCGTTGCCCGCTGCCCCGCCGCTCTGCTGCTCGCTGCCCCGCTGTTCCGCTGTTGCTGGCATAGCCGCTGCCACTAATGCCATCGCCGGGTGCTGTTCCTCTTGTACTTGTCACTGAAGGTGAGCCGCCTCCTCCTCCTCCTGCTCCACCTCCTCCTCCTCCTCCCCCTCCTCCTCTTCCTACTCGTCTTCAACCTCCTCCTCCTAGTCTTCCATCTCCTCTTCTTCCTCCTCCTCCCTTTGCTCCTCCTTCTCGTCTTCCTCCCGCTGTTCCGCTGCTGTTGGAGCCATTGCCGAGAGCTGTTCCTCCTCTAACCGTCGCTAAAGTGAGCCTCCACCTCCTTCTCCTCCTCCTCCTCCTCCTCCTCCTCGGCTTTCACCTCCACCTCCACCTCCTCCTCCTCCTTCTCCTCCTCCTCCTCCTCCTCTTCCTACTCGTCTTCCACCTCCTCCTCCTCCTCCTCCTCCTCCTCGTCTTCCACCTCCTCCTCCTCCACTTGCTCCTCCTTTTCCTCCCGCTGTTCCACTGCTGCAGGCATAGCCGCCGCCGCTGGAGCCATCGTCGGGAGCTGCTCCTCTACCCGTCGCTGAAGGTGAGCCTCCACCTCCTCCTCCTTCTCCTTCTCCTCCTCGACTTTCACCTCCTCCACCTCCACCTCCTCCTCCTCCTCCTCCTCTTCCTACTCGTCGTCCACCTCCTCCTCCTTCTCCTCTTCTTCCACCTCCTCCTCCTCTTCCTCCTCCTCCTCCTCCTCCTCCTCCTCCTCGGCTTTCACCTCCTCCACCTCCTCCACCACCTCATCCACCTCCTTCTCCTCCTCAATCAATCAATCAATCAATCAATCAATCGATGAAAAACAAAAAGGCAAAATGTTATCCAATCGAATCAATCGATTCGATGGGATTTTGATTCAAAAATCAAGATCCAATCGAATCGATTGATTCAATTGGATAACATTTTGTCTTTTTCTTTCCATCGATTGATTGATTGATTGATTGATTGATCCAATTGAATCGATCGATTTGATTGGTTCTTGATTTGGAAATCAAGATCCAATCGAATCGATTGATTTGATGGAATAACTTGATAACGTTGTCGAGTGAAGCGAAAGATTGGAGTACTAGGAGGAGGAAAGGGCCGACGAGGAGGAGGAGGAGGAAGGATGACGAGGAGGAGGAGGAGGAGGAGGAGGAGGAGGAAGGATGGAGAGGAAGAGGAGGACGAGGAGGAGGAGGAAGAGGAGGAGGAGGAGGAAGGATGGAGAGGTAGAGGAGGACGAGGAGGAGGAGAAAGAGGAGGACGAGGAGGAAGGATGATGATGATGTTGAGGAGGAGGAGGAGGAGGAAGAAGAAGAATTAGAAGAGGACGAGGAGGAGGAGGAAGAAGAAGAATTAGAAGAGGACGAGGAGGAGGAGGAAGGAGAGGAGGACTGGCTTTCTTTTCTAATCATCTGCTCCCATCCGGGGTCGAAAACAAGTCTGTATTTCAAGAAGTTCATGGGTGTGGCAATTGAGACAGGGCAGGCATGAAAACGCCTCCCATTATGCTGATGGGCAGACGATCGTGAAGCATTCAGAAAGAGGGAAGAACGAAAGAATAAAAAGAAACGCCAGAAACAGAAAAACCCTCCCTTCCGTATAGATTCGATCAACTTGGGAATAAATCGAATGAGCTAGTGTAGCAGTATCATACACGAATTGCAAGGTAATATCGAAGACGTCAATAACAAAACCCGCCATATTCACTTCTGGAAGGCAATGAGCTCTCCTCTCGAGCTTGTAGATAACAGTACCGCCCGCCATAGCTGCAGAGCGCTCTAGAAAGCCCTCGCCCCCCCTGCCCCAACAACACCTTCAAGTACTACGACCGCGCTGCAAGATTAAACCGATGGTAGCGGAACCTCCCCCTCCCATTATCAACCACCATACACACATCCGCGTAATCCACTTCTTCTTCGTCTTCTTCACCATGGTCATGCTTCCATTCACTCCTCCGCAAGAACAACTCTCTCCTCGACGTAGCCGGTGATCATTCCTTCTTTGGCGCCACCGCTACAAAGAAGCGATTTCTCCACTCCAATCACTACTGCTGGTGCCGCCGCTACCCCGGATGCCACACTTCATTACTTCATTTGCCAATCTCTGCTCATTGGGACGCAGCCTGCCATCATGCGTCCCGTTTTCTACTGCACACCCTCATCCACTCCCCGTGCACCCCCTCCCTCTTTCCTCCTCTCCAGATCTTCACACGCTGGAATCCCGACACTACCCCACCCCCCGCTACTGCTGATACGCTGACCTCCACAAAACGCCACCGCCGCCTCATCCTCCCCGCCGCCCACATCATCAGCGCGTCCAACAACAGTTTGCCTGCCGACACGATACCGTTGTCTTACCTCGTCTTCCGGTGAGCGCGCAGAAAAGGGAAGGCCAACAATGAAAAAAAGGTAACATGTTTAGGGGAGGGTTGAGAATGACAACCACGATTGATTGATTGATTGATTGATTGATTGGTTGATTGTTTGATTGATTTGATTGATTGATTGATCCAACTCAATCGAATGAGATTGAACTGGCGCCGCTGCCACTTCGTGGCCTTGGACATGTAAGAGTCATACGAAACCCAATTGTCTTGGTATTTCTTACCGTGAAAACCAAGCCAAGTTTGATTCTCAGGGAAGTACTTATGCTTGATTCTTTGTCGACCCCAGGTAGGGTGTCTACGAAAGATTCATGCACGAAGTTGTTGAAATGTTCGAAAATCCATACGGTGAAAGATTGTAGAGCATTGGTGAACAAGTAGAGTATACTAAGACGCTTGAGATAACCATGTTGAAGGAACTCGGCAAAATGACTCCGTAACTTCGGGAGAAGGAGTGCTTTTCTTTGCAAAAACAGACAAAAGTGGCACATAACAGGGGGTAGCGACTATTTATTAAAAACACACGACTCTGCCAAGTGGTAACACGATTGATTGATTCAATGGAATCGATCGATTTGATTGGTTTTTGATTTGGAAATCAAGATCCAATCGAATCGATTGATTCGGTTGGATAATTCGGTAATGTTTTTTTTTTTTTTTTTTTTTTTTTTTTTTTTTTTGATTGATTGATTGATTGATTGAAGGGGAAAAAAAACAAAAGTGGGTCAGGGCGGTATAGGGGCGAAAGCCTAATCGATCCGCTTTATAGCTCGTTCCCTCCGAAGCTTGCCTGGCGATGGTTCGAGGCTTGAAGCTCTTGAAAAGTGTTGCCGAGTGAAGCGAAATATTGGATTACTAGGAGGAGGAAAGGATCGACGAGGAGAAGGAGGAGGAAGGATGACGAGGTGGGGGAGGAGGAGGTGGAGGAGGAGGAGGAGGAGGAGAACGAGGAGGACGAGGAGGAAGAATGATGATGATGATGAGAAGGAGGAGGAGGAAGAAGAAGAAAAAAAAAAATTAGAAGAAAAGGAGTAGTAGGAAGGAGAGGAGGAGGAGGAGGAGAAGGAAAAAGACAAAGTAGAGGACGAGGAGGAGGAGGAAAATGAAGAGGAGGAAGGAGAGAAGGATGAAGAAGAAGATGCAGAATAGAAGGAAGAGGAGGAGGAGGGGGAGGAGGAGGAGGAGGACCACGATGACCAAGAGGAGGAGGACGACGATGACCAAGAGGAGGAGGGGGAGAAGGATGAGGATGCAGAAGTGGTGGAGGACGAGGAGAGGAGTAGGGAGGAGGCGGACAAGGAGGACGAGGAGAAAAAAATCCCATATCTAAACCTGTTAGAGTCCTTTTCAAGCGCAAAAAAAATAAAAAATGAAAATAAAAAAATCGGTCATTTTTCGGTTAATCCGAATTCCGGATAAACAGGATACCGAAAAAAGTGGCCAGATATTCCGATCACTTCATCCAGCCGGAAATGATAACTAACTTAGTATTTAAACATATTCTTATATGCAAAGTTATAGGTTTTTGTCTACTTTAATATTTTTGTGTTAGTAGAAATTTGGAAAGCTACCTTCTCTACAAGAGATGCAGCCTCAGGGAGTTAGACAAAATTGTATTGGAAAAAGCTACTTCAAATATGGACTAGTATAAACCTTTGGATAATACTTTCCTAAAGAAAGTATTGCCCAAATTTTTCCTAATCCAAGGAGTGAGATAAAATTTGAGTGTTTTTTAGTTAGAAGTTTTCTGAGATTTTCATATTTAATCTTATATAAATTTTGCAAAGACACTTTTTCCTATGGGAAGCGCTGCTGAAATTTCCTGAAATCTATGGGAGTTAAATATTTAAGGACTTCAAAAATTTTGACAATCTATCGATGACTAGGAAAAATGCTGCCGAAATTCTTGATGTTTTCATACGTGTCAGAGATGAAGCAGGAAGGTAGGATCATACTCACTTAAGCATAGCTTGGTTGCTAACTTGTGTTGTGTTGCAAGTCATTTTCATTTTCAGATTGTTTTGAGGTTTGATTAGCTTCGGGATGATCCTACAAGGATTATCTTTTGTTATCTTTTGATAACACGTCGGTTTCTCGCGACTCAACCTAAGACTGTAATCTACGTGCTTTGATTTGTTTTGTTGGGTTCTTACCCGAACTTTTCGTAAATGACCATTTAAAAATGAACTGCATGTTTTTCTTTTATAAGGTTGGACAAAAGTTGGGGCTTGTGTGAATAAGGCAGAAAAATTTTAACAAGCACAAATAAAAGGGATCTTTTTTTTTCTATCGTTACAAATCCGCTCAATCATGACGCATGGTCAAAGTAGACTGCACGGATACACAAAATATAAATATAACGGGGTTATATGACACGAGGCGATCACTCTCACAATCAGTGTGTGACTCCCTTCAAAATATACACATGATCGCAAACAAAGTCAAATTTGGACTTCAACCCACAAAACATATATGTAATCATACCAAAGATTCCACATCAACATACAACACACTACACGGGGTCAACTTAATCCACTCTTTGCACTCACAAAGTCAAACCCTTTGACCTATCCGACGAACTCCGAAGATGGAGCCCCTTTCCCAGAGTCAAGAGGCGTTTGGCCGCCACAAAGGGTTGAGGGCCCCCTACCACTCGTCTCCGTTGTACAGAAGAAGGTAGGTCTGACAATCATACTCACGATTGTCTACCGTCGAGGGATTAACCCATCAGGACCCGTGTCATCCGACACTTGAGTGTCAAAAATGACCCTTAGAATCTTTGAGGATCGCGTGGCTATGGGTACCACATAGTATGCCATGATTGCGACCGCTCGAGTACTCATGCATGGCTGGTTGATATTATGACAAAGTCTTTGTCGCTGCGATCTTTTATTCAGAGTCTAGCGCGCGACTGCTGTATGTATTGCCATCGAAAGGTTATGGGTCAAAGGCGCAATTCACATATGAAGCTTGATTTTGTTTTATGAAGTGTTTCACGTGGTTAGATTGACCGTCCTAGTCGACTAGCATAGGATTGCGTTCGAGAGATTAGTGCCTCGGGTAACGATTCGCGCATGGGTCCAGTTCGAGCGTTAACTGCATGTACCCCCTACGCTACAACGAACGAGAAATGCCCTCGGTTGGGCCACCTCTGCGATTGCATACGAAAAACGTTCTTACGTGATTCCGTAACTTGACAGGGATAAGACCACCTAAGGGATGGTGACAGTTCCCTCGGGTGGAGTTAATTTGTACTTTGCATGACCCTATTCTGTTGTAGGTGTTCGTGAGAGACATGGCTGGTGCACTCGCCCGGAGCGGCAACGCTCTGCGACGAAGTCCTGCAAAATCATGCGTGACGTGGCCAAGAGGGTCCCCTCTACGGGACCGATGTGCTCGACAATGTGCCGAAGTGACGGACGGAGTGGCGACGTGAGGTGGGATTAGCGACAGACTTGGGGGTACGTGCAGTTGGAGAGATTGAGCGGTGGTGGTGATAGAACGTGGCCAGCGGCAGGGCGTTGTGGGCCTTGTGGCTATGGTTGGTTGGCGTTCTTGTTGGTTGGCGTTCTTGTTGGTTGGGGTCTGTGCTTGATGAAGGCCAATCGTGTGGAATTTCAAATAGCAAGGGATTTGCTCTTTTCTCTGTTGCTGCTTTGTCCAAGTGCTATGTGTGTAGTAGACTAAGCATGGGTTCTCAGTCGCATGCATGACGTTGGTTGTGAGGGTCTATGGATGTTGAGTGCTTCGTTGTCCAAGATGCATGGATGTATGGATATGGAGTAATGTCACGGGTGTAAAGCGTTGCAGGCGCAACCCGGGAGAAAGGTGGGGGTATCAAACGTCTGCCTGTATGCATGAGTGTGTTGATCTCCCCTTGCCTTCCCCGCCCCTTGCCGATTCCTGGCGCTATCCATGAGCGTGGAGAATAGCCACCCACTCTTCCTTCTCTTCCCTCTTGCGCGCAAGTGCCACGCGTCGGGTTATTCGACGTGACCGGTCATCGTAACTAGAGGCCGGTCGCGTGTGTGTCCGCTCGTCGCCTGATCTCTTTGCTACCCGACCATAACCATTTTGTCCAGATAACGATTCGTTGACAAACGACACTGTGTTCCTGAACTTGCATTTTGTTAACTGGGAGAGAGTGGGGTGAAACCCATTAAGATTTGCATGAAGTCCAAATTTACTACGCTAGACGTGAGCGAGGGTAATTGTCCGTGCTCGACCCTCTCGACGATCAACCTCAAGACGCTGCCATTCCCGATTGCACATGAAGACAGTGTGTGTTGCGATGCGGATGTGAGAAATGCGATGTTACGAACTGACCGGGTTCGTCTATACAACCCGTCCAACGGTTGTCACGTAGGGGGGAGTGGGTTCGTGTTGATTGATCGGTTTTCTTCCCGACCCCTGATCCTACCTTATACTGATTTGACG